ACAAAGTATTATCAGGGGGAAATCTCTCTTTCTCTCGGGGGTCTCCACACTGTCAGGGGGAAAACTCGTCTCGTCTCTCTATCTCGTCCCCTTGAGGTACGGGATCGGGAAAGTCACTTATACTTTACAGTCAAATAAGACACACACAACGAAATACGTTTCAGCTCTCGTCTTAGTCGGTCAATCGAGCACTCTATAAGACACAGCGCCCTGGGGAAAAAGTCCCCAAGACTCTCTTAAGGCTGAACCAAGACTAGCCCAAGACTGGACTGCCTCAAGGCTCGCCCCTGGACTCTCTCGGACTGGACTCGACTGCCCAAGGCTCGCCCCAAGACTCTCTCGGACTGGACTCGACTCTCCAGGACTGCCTTCTCTCTCTACTGCGTCTGTCGTGGAGTATTCGCCAAGACCAACTCAAACTCTCTTTATTCATTTTCAAAACCCTGACCAATTACAATACAGTAAAAAGACTCTAGGGCGTAACCTTCAATCATAAAGCCAATCACACTAAGTACTGAATACGTCATATCTTTTGATTAATCGTTCACTACATTAATAACTACGGATGTCAGAATAGCGACGGTATCTTGTAATTAGTTCCAAATCACTGAGCCAAGTTCCGTCCAAAACATCAAATAGGCCTACACGATGACAGACATAACACAGCAATTCAGCTAATAATCAGTTAATTAAGTCGGTCAACAGATACGCAAAAACAAATTCATGACAGTATTAACATCATGCAGTATCAGTGACATTATGCCTTGTACAAATTTTTTCCCCATATTACCACCCCACCCCGAGCGTCAAATCTGATTGGCCCTTGCACGTAATTCAGAAAAATTACGTCACCAACTAGTCACCTCCTAAACTGCCAAAATATAGTTTTATTTACTGGGCAAATTATTTTTGTGAAAGCTGTTTGAAATATGATCAATCTGAATGTCCTCGCTATATACCGCTAGCTTATGATGCATTTACCAATATTCGCTTTTGAGGATTTCACCATTTTCAATTCTCCCAACCTTACAGTGGCAACGCACGGAGTTTTGTTTTCTGCACTGAACTTTATTCAACACGTCCAACGGCGTTGCTCGTGCGCATGAGTAGAATGTACGAAAATACGTAGGACGCGTGGACACGAGCAACGTTAACGATACTTATTTCAGTTTCTGCTGGTGAAATAGAGTGTTAAAATATGTATTATGTACATAAAATATTGCCGTTTACGAACATCAATTACCATGACCGTTAGTTTATCTTATTGCGTTTATGAAATATAATTATTTTGGGAGCCATAAGTATATTTACGGTTTCGGAGATGTAGTAGTAACGTAATTACTAATTTCGATTTAAATTAAAACCGTGACCATTTCAGGGTAAGTTGTAAGACATTTTATTTGAATCAGTGTAATTTAAGAAATATTGTGTAAAACAACACACATCATAAAATATTGGCGTATTATGTGATAGCAATAATGTAAAGAATTCAATCTCATTCCATGGACCAATCAGGTTGCCGGGATTTTTATTACGCAGTATAGAGATTAGCTGTGGAGATTGGTACAATTATTTCATGTTATTTCGGGTCATATCGCGTCGTATTAAAGCATGAACTAAACTTGATTCATACAACCTGGGCATGATTTTAGTGTGAGACATTTAGAGATATCAAGAACGATGTATATTTTCTTAGAAATACTCTGATACATTGGATTGGAACATGGGCATTTCTTTGGGGACCTGGTCCAGTTCAAAGGCGATAGGCCTGGCCTTGAAGAAAAGCTGTTAATGTCCACATTTATTGCCGAAATAATTCAGCTTTGAATTGCCATAATTACTCGTTCTGAAGCTCTTACACTGTCTCAGTTTAGTATCTCGCGCATTCAGCTTCGGAAAACTTCATTCATAGCAACAACCAACTTCCCATAGTCGTGCTGTTACAGCTACCAACCAACAATGCTACAAACTGTGATGAAAGAATAACATGTTTTCAACCATCTTCAGGAAAGTGACTCTAAAATTAGTGAGTCAAACGCTAAACGTCAGTTACTAGATTATCTTACACTTCCCCTATAGGGGGGAAACACAAAATCAGAGACCAATTACCCAACTGTACATCATCAACTGTGGATTCAAGTCAGCAGTTCTAGGCTTCCTGATTACAATTTACATCATATTGATACAAACTTGGACTTATCTGTCAAGTTGCCCATGCCTAATCAGATTGTGACAGCCCAGTCTCAGCCGCTCATGTCTGCTAGACACAACCCTAGCCTGTTACCCATTCCCGCTGTTTGTATTCATTTCCCGACGAATTTGTGATGTCTCTGCCTAATCCCGGGAACATTTACCACCAGGGTAATTTACTTCAGTCCGGTGTTACTCAGTGGATACAATCAGCCTTCGAGACTCACAGGTTATCTAGGGGAGTCATGAGGTCAAGAAATTATAGTTCTACCTCTACAGTCATTACAATTTTACATCCCTAGAAATCACAGTAGTACACCAAATGGAGCCATACGACCATAATTATGTACTGTCATTTGCAATTCCATTTTCTCGGCTAAGGTGTAATGGCCTCTTTGAATGACATTGGTTTAGCGATCCACAACTGTTCATCAATATCAAAACTTGCAACTGTAGTCATATTGTCAGCATACAATGTTTCATCTTGCACATC